AAAAAAAAAAAAAAAAAAAAAAGAATGTATTTTTAACGGTTGTTTGCATTTCAATTTTAAGATCTCTCTTTCTGTGCTGAGTTTATTCTTAGTCTTTATAGGAATCCAGGCGCTCCTCTTAAGATGAGCATTTCTTCCTATTAGCTCTTACCAAGAACAAGAACTGAGCCAGACCTGGTGGTTCACGCCTGTAATCCCAGCACTTGGGAGGCTGAGGCAGGAGGATCTCTGTGAGTTTGAGACCAGCCTGGGCTACATAGTGAGTTCCAGGTCTGTCTCAACTACACAGGGAGACCCTGTCTCAAAAAAAAAAAAAAAAAGAACAAGAACTGGAACATCTTGGGTCACCCACTGACATGTGAACCAGTAACTATGACTTCAGGAAAGTGATATATAGCTCTGTCCTCATTCTTTCAAAATTTTTAAAAAATTATTTTGCAGTGTTGGGGATTAAACTAGGGCTATACACAGAGTAGCCAAGTGCTGTACACCCCTACCTCTCCTCAGCCTTTTATTTTATGTTGTTTTTGAGACAAGGTCTCACTATATAGTTCAGGCTGGCCTTAAACTATGTAGCCCAGGCTGGGCTCAAATTTGAATGATCCTCCTGCTTCAGCCTCCTGGGTTACAGTGCTGGCATTACAGGTGTGAGCCACCATCCTGGGCCATTCTTAGCCTTTTTTGTTGTTTTGGTACCTGGGATTGAACTCAGGTCCTTCTGCTTGCAAGGCAGGTGGCAGAACCACTGAGTTAAAACCCTGGCCCCATCCTAAGCCTTTTAAAGGAAACAATCATGCAAATAATTTGTTATATAGTAAGTCCTCGATTTATGAACAAGTTCCATTCTGTGAGAACATTCCTAAGTCAGATTCATTTTGTAAGTCTGACAAAGCAAGTCTTACACTGTATTTTCACTTTTATTTCTGTGGCTATTGCTTTGTGCTCCCTAGCAGTTCCCTCCACATCACCCTTGCTTTTTTTCCTTTTGCTTCTGGACATCCTTGGTTCTGATTGAGCACTGTATCCCGGTATGCTATCACACTATACAGTAAGCACACAGCAGCACAATTGTGAGTGTCTGGCAGGTAAGTGAGCTACTTCAGCAATTTGTTTGCATCTGTTTTTTTTTTTTGGTACCGGGGATTGAACTCAGGACCTTGTGCTTGTGAGACAGGTGGCAGAAGCACTGAGCTAAAGCCCTGCATCTATGAATGTTTGTAATGTGGAGTTCCTTGGTATGTGTGGAAGTTTGCAACTTGAATGTTTGCAAGTTGAGGACTTACTGTACACGTACTATTTTTTTTATTAATTTTATTGGTACTTTTTAGGTATATAATGACATTCATCATTGGAAATTTGTACCTTTATATAATCTATCTTGGTTCTTATTTTTTCCCCATTACCTGGCCCTCCTTTTTAATCCTTCCACCCCTCCCTATTTACAAAGACTTTGTTTCCATTTTTTCATTTTCTCATTATATTTCTGAGAATTTTTTCAGTGATTTCACAGAATGGATTTGCTGCACTTTTTAATTTCTATAATTTATATATATATTTTTGGTACTGGGGATAGAACTTGGTTCCTTGTGCTTGCAGGGCAGGCGGCAGAATCACTGAGCTAAATTCCCAGCCTTATAATTTATATTTTTTGTAAAATAACTTTAAAGCTTATAATCTAATGGCAGATCTGTAATAAATAATAGAAAAATAAACACATCTTCACAAAGTTTGATAGATGTTTTTAGGGAAGTGAATTATGATAGAATCCTATAATGGGGGCCTTATTTAGGTCAGGGAAAGAGTCTCCTAAGGGCAACTATGGAGAAGTAAAATTTAAGTTATGACCCATATGATGGGCGTTAACCAAGCAGAGTAGACAGAAAAAATGTTTCTGTTAGAGGGAATAATGTGTGAAGAGGTTAAGAAGGGAAAATGTTAGTTCTATTTTGGGAACTAAAAGACATTCATTGGGTCCGAGAATAGTGATCAGAGGAGAATGTGTTCAGAAGGATATCCAAGATCATGTCAGACTATAATTCGTGGATCTCCCCCTGACCCCAGGGATTGAACACAAGGCTTTCATATTGGGATACACCCCCAGCCAAGTTTTTATTTTGAGACGATCTTGCTAAATTGCTGAGTGGCCCAGGCTGGGCTCATAGTTGTGATCTTCCACCTTAGCCTCCCAGAGTGATGGGATCCCAGGTGTGTACCACCAAAGCCAGCTAATTTTTTTTTCTCCAGAATAATAGAATACTATTAAATTTTGATGAAGTGACATATTAGAGTTCAAATTTCCAGAAAATCATTCTGGCTGCATTATGGTAAGTGAAAAGGGGACAAGAGTGGAATCAAGAGGCTGAGGATTTAGCTCAGTGGTGCTGCGGCCTACCTTGCAAGCGCAAGGTCCCAAGTTTGATCCCCGGTAGTTAAAAAAAAAAAAAGTCAAGGAATCTAATCAAGAGGTATTTTGGTTTTCCACATGAAGGCTAAGCAGAGACTGCATGGCAAACGTGCAGGTAGAAGAACACAATCATTTAAGATGCATTTTGGAAACATAAAGCCAATAAATAATTGGTTAGATATTTTTCTAGATGTCAGGCATGGTGGTACACAATTACAACTATCATCCCAGCTACTTGGAAGGCTGAAGCAGGAGGATCCTAGGTTTTAAGCTAACTGGGTAACAAAGCAAGAACTTATTAAAAAACAAAACAAAACAAAAAAAACTGGGTGTGGATGTGCACACCTGTAATCCTAGCACTTATGAGGATGAAGCAGGAGGACTGCTACAAGTTCGAGGCCTGCCTGAACTACAGTGAGAACCTATCTCAAAAAAACCAAACAACCCCCAAAAACAACAACAAGGAGTTTTTCCAGAGGAGACATGTAAATTGTTAACAAGCACATGAAAAAATGCCAAAGGCTCGACATGATGCATGCCTCTAATTCCAGCACTTTGGGAGGCTGAGGCAGAATAACAGATTTGAGCTGCTGAATCTGGGCAATTTAGCAAGACATTGCAAAAAAAAAAAAAAAAAAAAAAAAAAAAAAAAAAAAAAAAAAAAAAAAAAAAAAAAAAAAAAAAAAAAAAAAAAAAAAAAAAAAAAAAAAAAAAAAAAAAAAAAAAAAAAGCTGTGGATATAGCTCATTGCAAAGCTCCTGGGTTCATTCCCTATTAACATACTCATGTGCATGTGCATGTGCTCCCCAAATCATTAATCATTAGAGAGATGCAAATTGAATTTCATAATAAAATACTACCTTACACCCATTAGGATGGCTACTATTAAAAAACAAACGAACAAAAAATAGAAAATAACAAGTGTTAATAAGAATGCAGAGAAAGTGGAACCTTTATTCACTATTAGTGGGAATGTAAAATAGTGTTGCTGCTATGATAAGGAGCTGGTTCCTCAAAAAGTTAAGATGCAGACTTAGATATGACCTAGCAATTCTACTCCTAGATGTAGATCCAAAAATACTGAAAGCAGGGTCTGAAACAGACAGTTGTACATCTATGTTCATAACTGCATTATTCATAATAACTAAAATGAGGAAGCAATCCAAGTGTTCATGAATAAATGGCTGTATTATAATGTGGTATGTACATATAATACAATGGAGTGAATATACATACATTCAGTCTTAAAAATGAAATCTGACACATACTATAACATGAACATTGAGGACTGAAATAAGCTAGTCACAAACAAATACTGCATGATTCCACTTATATGAGGTACCTAGAACAGTCAAATTCATAGAAAGAAGTGGCTGGAGATTTAGCTCAGTGGTTCCACCACCTGCATATACATATATATATAAAAGAGTGGCTGCCAGGGACTGCGGTTGTAGGGGAAAATAAGGAATCACTATTTAGTAGGTATAGCATCACAGTTAAAAATGGTTAAAATGAGCTGGGTGTGTGATGCATGCTTGTAATACCGGCACTTGGGGCACTTGGGAGGCTGAAGCATGAGCATTGCCATGAGTTTGAGGCCAGTTTGCACTACACAGTGAGTCCAAGGGTAGTTTGAATTATATAGTGAGAACTTGTCTTAAAAATACCAAAACATGTGGTGGCGCATGCCTGTAAATCCAGCACTCAGGAGGCTGGGGCAGGAGGATCACTATGAGTTCGAGACCAGCCTGGGATACATAGTGAGTTCCAGGTCAGTATCAACTACATAGGGAGACTCTGTCTCAAAAAACCAAAAAAACCCCCCAAAACAAACAAACAAACAAAAAACCCCAAAACAACAACAACAAAAACAAACCAGGGGCCAGGGATGTTGCTCAGTGGCACCTCACCTGCCTCAGAAAGTGCAAGGTTCTGAGTTTGATCCCCAGTACCAAAACAAAAACAAAAACAAAAACAAAAAAACCAATAAATAAATAAAGCAAACAAGAAAGCAGGCTATTGTGTGGTGATTGTAATTACTTAGGCCTCTTGGTTGCAAGTGAAAGAATCCCAATTTGAACTAGCTTAGTGTCTACATTTACTAGCTCATGGAGTCCAAGGAAAAGTTGAACAAACCATGAGTGGCCAGGATTATGGAGCTTCAGGAACAACTGGAACCAGGGACTTGATAGTTTTCCAAGGTGTTTCTCACCTCTGCTGCATTTTGCATGTCAGCTCCTTTTTCATTGCAGACCAGCTGGTTCCAAATGGCAAGATGTATGGCTGCTGACAGCTCCTGTGTTTTACATTTTATGGCTTCCACACTGGATAGGGATTTTCTTCTCTGTTTCAGTTCAAAAAATTCTAGACAAGGATTCTGGCCCATCTTGGTCAGGACCAGTGGCCAATGGTCTGAGGTTATTTAACACTATGCAATATAGTCAGAAGTATTTACAGAAACACGATAAAGAAACAGAATGAGATCTATAACACAGTATCCATTATGTACAGTCAAAACACATACATAGGACATTGTATATTATTCAGAGATATGTATTTATTGAAGAACATATAACAAACACAGTAGTCACAACCTAAGGGAAGAAAGACAGAACAAGAGTGGTAATTGAAATACAGAGCAAAAAGGTAAACGAGAAAGGCTTTATTAACGATAGTGTAAATAAAATAGTATGCTTGGCTCAGTTCTCTGCACCTGAGGGAAAACAAGCAGCAAAAGAGAGTGTGATACAGGAAAATAGAAGAAAAAGCAGAGAGAGAGAAAAATATTTCTGAATAGAGGTGAAGGGCAGTTTTCAGGCGAAAAAGAAGAGAATGCTGAGATGATTCCATATGTGCTCATTATGGAGACAGACACATACTGATAGTTGAGTGATGATGAGGAGAAACATTGGCAGTGTCATGGGTAACCCCTTGGTGTTCATGTAGATAATGGGATAATTTATTGAGATTTAAGACTGGTGAAGAAACAAGTATTTGGGAAGAAAATCAGAGATTTGATGAACTGTATTTGAATTGCTTATGAGGCATCTACAAGGATGTCCTTTTTTCCCCTTAATTATTATTATTATTATTATTATTTTT